TATAATCACTTAGCAAAGAGTTTTCACACCCTTCCTACTTTGCTGGTAGCATATGAACGTTCTCAACGTCCATCATAGGTATCCTACTCCTCACTGCTGCCAACAGTCTACTACCATTGATTCTATCACAGCCATCACGATGTGTGATAAATAAATGCAGTTGGCCTTCATAATTCACCACATAACATGACCGCTCCAACTCTTCCGAGAGCTGCCCTTGAATGACATCTGACATCAAAAGTCACCCCCTCCCCCCAGAGCTCTCTTTCAAAGTCCTCCATCCCTCTATTACTTATATCATGAAACGCCCCTCCGAGCTTCACATAGTTGCCGATACGCCCGATGAACTCGACAGTCTTGTCCGGATGCACCCGCACCAAATCGTTCGTCCCTAAGCCCTCCAATATCGACCACGAGCCCTTCAGGAACTCCACCTACTATAAAACCTTATCCCGCTTCTGACAACAAACTTCTCCGCATTATTTCGCTCCGCTCGAGAATCTCCTCCTTTAGGCACATAGTAGCCGTATGGTGTCACCATATCACCACCCAGTAGAAGCTCTCCCACCAAAGCCTGCATTCATAACACTATGCCGATCCCATTTCCTCTTATACCACCTCGAATGACTACTACCTGATCCTGTCCTCTAGTGAGGACCTCATCCACATCAATAATGGCTCCCTCAGTGACTCGATATCGTGCATTTTCATAATGACATTGGCGATCTCTCGTGGCGTAGAAGCTGAGCCAATACTCGCTGGCGATGAGCAGGTCAAGTAGCGTTATTTCTTTCGCATCTGCAGCAGTGGACAACTACTCGGTGTCGACGAATCTTTAGTGGCCCTCATGGACCTCATTTGTATCTTTATTATTTGAGGTCAAGATTCCTCAACGACAGCCTCCAGTGCAGGCTAAGTCGTCTGCTTCTACGCCACGATTAGTTATTCTTATCATTGCGACTATTCTCAACCTCCACACTGTCGGCCACAACAACATTCACGTCTCAATCAAGTAATTCACAACAGGTCGCCGGTTCAATCCCGGGCCCCTCCCTTTTTTATTCATACCATTCCATTCATCTGCTAGCTCTTGAGATAGCTTCTCCCCCCACGATATGAGGACCATATCATTATCTCCGCCAAGGCGAGCCCTCTCCACCACACACTCCTTTCTTATAGTGCTCAGCACAGTGGGCACAAAACCACACACCAGCGTCCTTCTTCGCTTAGTAAGCCTAGCGTGAACGCTACTAGCGATCTCAATAAACGTAGCCAAATCCTTCTGAAGGTTATAGTCGCTTCCAGGCAGGGCTACCATAGCGCCCATGGAAAGCCCTGAGGGGTGGGTACTTCAACAGACGGGTTTGATTATGCTACTACCAATGCTAAGAATACCATAGGCTGCAGACGACCAGTGAACAAGGCCGTTATGAACTACACAGACGCTCTTCTCGGTTGGGATGAAATTCAGTACGGTATTTTTATAGTGTACTAGCTCGTGCAAGACCTGTAAAGAATCAGCTCATTCGCGTAACTCGCCACGAAATTACCATCCCATGAGTGATGATAACACACTTACTGTAGTTCATCGTAGTAGTACCTGTTGTAGGCTGGTGCCAACCATAACAACAGCTCCTCGATTAACCCACCTCCCGTAAAGTGTAATCCTAGGATCAAATCGCGGCCTCTGGGAATGGTAAAATCCCCCTTCCCTCGACCGAGTTCGATAAGCCCCTCTACTGTCACCCAGTCCCCATCCACTGCTCTATCAGCAATGACTATAACCGGCTTCAGCTCCTCCATAATGTACGTGTTGCGAGCCTCTTGCTGTGCTTTACTCGGTAAGTCAGTGCCTATAAGTACTCCCATTACCCAACCCTTGACTCACAGCTCTCACCCATAGCAGCCAGTGGTAGCCCTAGTGCAGCGCACGCGATGTACACAACGTACCAGTCTATCGTACGATCCATGTAGCATGCTAACACGTAAACAACATGCTGTAAGTAGCAGCGTATCAGCGTTCACCTGCTATAAGGCCTTGATACGTCCCCTCACGTATGCCTAGTCGCTCGCGGATTCCTCTAGCAAGATTCATCGCCTTCTCCCAGAGCTCTTCATAACTACATCGAGAGCACCTCATGGGCACCCGTCAGTCGACCAGGGTTCTCACGTTGTTGTCTTCACTGTGTCCATCCCAGTGTTGCATTCAAAGGCGGCAGTCCTTTTACCAACGTGCTGGTCCTTTGCCATGTCTCGCACGACCTCGGCGATGTTCATCGGCATGCCGGGTGAGGGGGGAGGAGGAGAAAGATTAACTCTTAAAAGTTTCTTGCTGGTTCATGCGTCGTAGTGTAGGCGTTCGGGCGCGCGCGTTTTCTTCGACTACAGTAAAGATTCGCTAATGTATGGGCCCAAGTTGGGTTATGTTTGAAGTCCTTCTTACGGGTGTGGGCGTATTCGTCTTCGGTATCACTCAGGGCATCTCAGCGGGGTATGAAGTCGCACGGCCTTTCAGAGTCTTCGGTAAAGCCAAGCACCAAAAACCTTCGCCGTGCGGGGAATCTTTCTCCCTCAGGTTTCACTGGTCTCTTAGCAGCACTAAGTTGGCGAGAACTCCGTATTGGCACCCACACCAAACGTGAGTTAACTGCATCCAACATTCTCAGTATCTCCTGGTGTTAGTCGAGCGCCACACGTGGACACTACGAGGGCGAACCAGCGAGTATTTCGATGACAGTGTTGCTGTCTCCTCCCCGACGTATTTGGTCGACAACCTTCCAGTGAGGAATTTGTCCCCCTCGTCATCAATTCTGACCTTCCCTGCAGGTCTACGTACTAGCCTTTTGCCTGCCGTTCACAACAGTAGGCGGTGGAGTGTGGCTTATGAGACGTCCAAGAGTTCTAGCTGAGTGGGCACGGCAGACCAAGATACGGTATAGGCGACTATTCATCAAGAAATGGAAAGGCGATGACAGTTGATGCCCGCCATGCTGTGTTTCTGTAACCTCATCGTGGTCGTTGTGTTCACCAACAGTCGGGAAGGATGATCCCATCACAATCTATGCACAGGAGTACAGTCGATACCTCTCGAAAAGTTCTACGCAACCATCGAATGAATAATCACACCTCCCGAGGCATCTTCGGGGCTGTCGTAGTATTCTGGCTCGTATAACGGGGGATCATGAAGTGATCACCTACCTCTATGAAATTAGCCTAGTTGATCGCTAACAACTTGGGCTGCATCCAACTGCGGGCAGCCGCGAGATGTATTCCTATCGCTACACCCACACGCAGAGCGTTTTTATCAAGATGCTTCTCAATCATCTACTGGGCTCTACTCTTGGTAAAGTTGGGCGAAGCAGAGCTTTTGCTATATACAGGTGAAAGTTTTATGATTGGACATTGTCATTGCATCTTCGGAGTCATTATCTAGCATATTCACTCAGGACACCCGCGCCTGCTGTTTCGGGGGTCCTCGAAGTGCGGCAAACGCTACGAATCTCCCCTCGACTTGCTGGCTTAGCCACTGTATTCGATAAGCTCCCCAAGGATAGTGACGGTATACTCTCAATGGTCGATACGGCTATCCTCACAGCTAGGTGCGACTCGAGAGGAGCTGCAGCGGCTCAGTCCTTCTACCCCGTCAGAAATCATGGACGCCATTTTCGGACTTTTCGACAATTACCCCAAGGACGGCAAGATATCCTACAACGAGCTCTGTAAGCTGTTCATGGCTAGGAGATTCTCAACGATCCGTTTCTCAAGGTGCATACCTTTTATTGCACGCTGAAGGCGTCACCGATGCCGAAAGGTATATTGGAGACTACCGCTGATGACCATCCCTTCCTCGTCAGATCAGAGTTCACCTTTTCCATCTGTGACGCTAATGGAGACAATAAGGTATCGAAAGAGGAGCTCTCCGAGGTGGGTTGTAGCACATATACAGAGGGCATTATACGTCCAATTCAGGTCGTGGGGACTCTCGCATACGCCAAGTCCAAGGACTGGAGCGTGGCCCAAGTGAGACGCCTCGCTATGCGGGGCATAAGCTTGGAGTTACCTCAGGCTGTTTCCTCACGCATAGTGGCGGATGCATTCGCGAATTCTGACGAGGCTGATCTCGATATTCACGCTTTCACCAAGTGGAGTCGAGGACAGTCCGAAGAGGCCTGGGTACGGTGAAGCTGATTGCATGATGATCATGTCCAGACTTGGTCAGGAATTTCACTCCCTCGTTACGGGCACTATTTAGGAGCTTTGTGCACATCTTCGATGGGTTACATGTATTATACTTTAGTGAGGAGTTGCTAGTTATTCAAGCGATAAGTCCGGGCATCGAATCGGACATGCTCTTTGCAATAGACCCGGAATTCGACTTCACACGGGTCTATCCTACAGGTCACAACAGCACACAATAAGACGACCATAGAGCTCTCGACAGTGAATAATTGGGGTATCGCTCTTGATATCTCCTCCATGTTTAGTGCACAAATTGGTGAGCAGTAGAGTTGTTCCTGCCAGGCTGGAATGATGGAGGAGAGCAGCAGGCAGGTGAACAGCTCAATCCGTTGCCGTTGAACAGATACAACGGTTTGATTCGTTTCACACAGTGCCGAGTATACGGTCAGAGGAGCCACGCCGGTTTTCTCATCTGTCTAGCGTTGTTGACCTTCTCGGACTGCAACCCAAAAAGACTATTCTCACGAAAGTCCGATCATTCATCATGACAACAACAAACTCGCATCAGCGACTCAGCTTACAGATCCACCATGTGAGCTGTTGATACTAGCACTCGCGGAGGCAGCCTTCAACAAGAGACCATCGATGTCGTTCTCATGTCCAGTCATCTTAGCTAAATTAACTAATACTTTCTTGTAAACATCCGCACCAGGTTCGCCTGCCACGCCCGGCGTCGTCGCGGTTTTGCTAGCGACCAAAGGTGTCGCAACAGCCTGTGAAAAATAGATCTCAACACATACCTATCGACACCTACTTTTTCCTCTGTGTTGTTCTCTTTGGGAACAACAGAAGCAGCTAGACGCTCTCCCTTTGACAAGCTGCTGATGAGCCCAATGATGACGTTGCTGGCCCCTGTGGCATTCTGGAGAGGCTGCCGCTGCTGGACAGCTTCTCCCACGACCACCTCGCGTCGCTCCGCCCTCAATGCCAGTACGGAGCCACTATGATTCGATGCCGTCGACAGAAACTGAACATACTGCTATTCCAAGAGTATTAATCTAATATTCCCAGTCTACGTGTGCCCTAGCTCGAACGCCGTCGCCGATCGCCGCGTTAAGGACTGGCTCTTCAACAACGCCCACAGCGGGTTGTGCACTGCGGACTAGTGTCACAGGGAGGAAGTCCGCTGCCCGATCCAGCTGATGCAGCGACGTGCTGAAACCTATCGTGATTGTCTTTCTGGCGGTGAGGACGCACCCCGAAGAAATGATGAGCAGCGCGACCATACACACGAGCACCCAGATGGCTGGTCGCAAGCCAGCAAGAAGCTGCCTAGGTTCATTCAAGACTTGGGCGGCGAATGCCAATACGCCCTTAACCGAAGCGCTCAGAAAGGCCTCGAATGATCTGATAGAAACCCCAAACCACCACCACGAGGAGGAGCCTTCATCAGCCTACTGGTCTCCTGTACGTCGGACAAGGCCTTGCCTTTCTATGTTCATAGAGGCAGCTTTAGCGTTGAATATGTCCGTGGTAGTTAGCGACAGAGGAGTGGGAGAGGGAGATGCTCCTCTAGACCGTAGTTGAGGACCTGCCTAGACAACAGTCTCTCATCGATGCAAGTGTCGACTCATACTGGGCGAGGCGCTGCCAGTACCCCCGTCCGAGCCACCGAATCTCGTTGCTGTTGTTGCTGCGACAATACTGACACGGCCCGAGACGTCCCAATAACATCAGCTATGGGGACCGTCTTACGATGTAGACGATGGGCATGTTGTCGCTGGCGCAGTACCGTCTATTATTCGACGGGCAGTGGAGTCCAGGAACTCTTTGATGCGGTTCTTGGTCGTTGCTGATATCAACGATTCATCATCGGAGTCATCAGGACGGTCTAAACAGAGGGCTATTTCCCTAGGATAATTCCGGCTACCCTGACGTCTCCTCTCTCCCAGAGTAGCTCTTTGGGTGATGACCTCCCTCATCGCAGCTGTAGCCGCTGCTGCTGTAGACTTGCCCTTAGTGGTGCCTGATATTGTCGAGCCTGTAGACTCGGGCGTAGTTCTCGACCTGGTCCTGCTCCTCTCCCTCACCATTCCAGCCTAGCAGCAACCACTAGTCATCTTCCTCGTGCCGACCTACCGCCTGCGCCAATACAGCATGAAGTTTTGAATGCTCCCCCCAGTTGTCCTCGAAGCACTTCTGGTTGCAGAAAAATGCAGTCCTGCCAAATGAGGCTGAGCACTTAGGGCAGCACAGTTTGGACTCAGTCCATCGTCCGCAGCCCTAAGCCAGCTCAACTGCTACAGGGCACCGAATAGGCAACCTGCCCTACTTGGCATGATACGTGATTTTTCGACACCGAATCTCCTTCATCGCCGCTTCCCTTCCCACTCCCTGGTCGTTCTGTCATGGTGATTCTCCTGCGCGACCTCAGCAGCCCATATTGACAACGAAAAACTGATGTGAAATAGAAAGTCACGACAAATTCGGAAAGACAGTGGGAGAAACGACAAATGTATTTCAAAGCCTTAGGCATAATGGCGTTTCATCTGCCAACCTTACCACGCCTGACAATGAAAAACAATAGGTACCAAAATTGGGGCGATTCGCCTCCCAGGAAATCAGAAAATAAGTCATACCAAGTGTAATAAAATCGACTTACGATGTGTCAGAACGGGATTGGCCGTAATCGCCTGCAGCTGTGCCATGGCACGATTGATGTCACTCTGGCATTTGTCAAGGTACTTGTCTCCTGACCGAAAGTCCTTCAATACCATAGACCAACGGCAGTGCTTACTCAATACGACCCTCAGTGTGTTGATATCAGCTGGTAAGAGGTTGCCAGATCCTTCAGCAGCCAGGCGTTGGATACACTGCAATGCATCAAGTACTGTCAGATAGACTCCGAACAGCTTACATCGATAGCAGTCTGCACTTCCTGTACAGTGGCCTCAGTGGTTGACATAAGCGGTAGACCGATCTTAGTAAGAACGCTGTTTATACACGTCACATCAGCGATGTCCGCTTTCGTTCTGAACAAGGAATAGTCTACTACTATCATGGAATGAAGATCCCCAATAAAAATGACGTTCGACTGAGAGGAGTTTTATACTGCTACGGTATTGCACGTGTTCGGTATGGCATGCAGTGGCCCCTTTGTTGCCATACTCATTCTCGCAAGCGGTGATGGTCGCGGCTGCAGCGTCACCGTCAGCCTTGGCTGCATAAGCGTCCATCACAGCGATATTGAGCAGCTCGTTGATGATGTCCTCCATGCTCGAATGATAGACATCCTCTCGGTCGGGCATAACCCGAGTGGCATACTGAGACGACGATGAGCGCATTCAACTGTGAGACGACTTACTTCTCTGCAGTTGTCAACGAACTCCTCCTCACCCAGACCGTTGCCGAACATCTTCTCCACTTCCTCCTTCGAGTAGAGCACCCTCAAGTGCTCAGCTTCGATCCACTGCATCAGCGCCTTCTGTGTTGACAAATCTGTGTGGGGTGTCCGAGTGAGCAACATTATTCTCATCCTACCTCTAACGCTTTTTCCTATATACCTGTCTCCGCCCAAAGCCTTCAACTTATATTCCATCACCTGAGGGCTCAGTGTTTCAGAGTCACCAATCGAATCAGTGATGAATATGTGAGCGACTCTACTGAAGCTGTCATCCGCTCACTCGCACTGAATCTCTGTTTTTTTACTTGAGAGGATGCTGCCCTGAGAGAATCCAATACAGATGCCAAAGAAACGCAACGGTCACCTGTTGGAGTCCTCCGAACTCTTCTCGCTTCGTGTTTCTCGCTTCTGAAGCAGACCAAGCATAGACTACCCTCAGTAATAGTAGCTTTTTACTTCTTTTGCAGGAGAAGTACGACGACTGGTAGGCTTCCATTGAGTCATGACGACACAAAACACAACTGTACAAATCTGTATGTATACCAAATACATAAGAACTAACGACAGCATCGCTCGAGTCGTTACCGGAAAGACTCGCAGCAGCAACACCCCATTTTTGGTACTCACTAACTTATGATGGCAATATTGTGTGACGCAAACCAGAGATGTGCTGAAACTTTTCGAGAAACACAGTGTCATGCAGGGCCATATTTTCGCTCGTCTTCTCTGGCCTTCACAAAGAGATCGTAAAAGCCCATTACACGTTGGTTAATTCGGCCCGATCGCTCGAATGCCCTGAATGACACGATCATAGGAGTGACGAGAATGCAAAGCTTGGTATCATGGAAATAAGGGCAGCGAACACTCCCGTACCATACTGTAGTTCGCAAACTAATGTGTGCTTGAGAAGGGTTCGCTACGAGTCGCATTCCCACCTTTTAAACCGATGAAGATCGCGTAGCTGCAGGCTGATACCTCTCCTCTCAAACAGTACGGCTGACAAGTAATCTACCAACCCAAACGCTGGGCGAAGGCTACCTAGTCGCTTCCAAGCATTAAGGTCGTCGATTGATGCTTTAGCGAATATCTCCGCAAGCTCGACTCCCGTCTCGGCCTTCATGTTGAGACCCCTTTTATCAACGAAGTGAATGAGCTGGTAAATCACTCGAGGATCTAATGCATCCAGGGCAGTCGCAGCTCCTGAGCGAGAAAAGGTGATTTAAAAGACAAGCGGCTTGTCACAAACCAACGACGACGTCGATTGTGGTGCACCCAAAATCGTTCATTCACTCACTCGCGATGCTAAGGCACATGAACTGATTAAATGCAATATCCAACCGCAGTCGGCGGCTCTGCTCTTGGAGGAACTCGATCCATTCTCGTTTGATGTGCCTAATAAGCCAGCAAGTTTCAGGGAAGTGCTCAGTCGAACTGAGAGAAATCGAGCAATCTTCAATGATAAATTCGGAAATGGAAGTGCTAGGCGGCACCATTCCCCACACTGTGAGACCCACAGCTCAATCCTGTTAGCAATCGACGATCGCTCGATACCCAGGATGAGTCTCGATGGAAAAGGCGACTTGTATCCGCGAGAAGCACACACCGATCGAGAATCATTCAATGAGGGCACAGTGTAGTGTTTGCAAGCGCGACACACGGAGAAAGATTCTCCGAGAAACCGAATTCACATTACGTTATAACCCATGTAGTGGCAGAGTAGCACAATGTCCCCAGCTATAACTGATGAGGAGCGACGACCCTCGAGGAGCTATTATCCTCGCTGACGGCTGCCAGTGCTTCCATCACGGAAGCTCCATCAGTCCAGCTCATCGCCTAACTCCGTTGATATACGCAAGCTTCTCATTTCTTTTCATATCCTTGTTTGAAGCCGTCCCATACCACCGATAGCATCCAACCTCAGAGGTCAACCTTGTTGTGGGATGGAGGTTCCTTCCATCCACCTCCTCTATCTCACTTTATGCAATTAGAACAGTGTTCTAATTGCAGCAGCATAAGGGCAGCGGCAGTGATAACGGGACGTCAGAGGCAATAGCAGTAGCAACAGCAACAACCGCCAGAGAATAATGGAATTTGAGCAAGCATTGTGGCTTGATTTGTCTCCATTTCTAGTTGTTCACGTCTGTTTAAGTCGATTATATTTTGACGGAGAATATGAGACATGGAGGTAGCAGCGAGGTAGAGTGTTCATACTGGTGTCACCGGTATGTAACACATCAGAAGGCACTGCTTTGCGACCGATTCTGGCTCTCCCGACGTAGTGAAAACACTAAACCCTGATTCGTATTCGTAAATATATCGTCTAATATAATTCACTTGGCATACTAAAGTTCACAACTGATTTCAACGATCTCAGTCATCTCACCACAAACGAATTAGAGTAGAGGTCTTCACGTAACGTGAATCGCGTTAGTTGAGCGCTTTTTCATCCTCATGAGCGGTGCTCTAGATGACGCTAGCAGCGTCACGCTAAGGACGACCTTTTTCTTCCTTGCCAGAAACTTGCGCGTGGATCTTAGTCAAGAGACCTGGGTCTTCGTTGGACACTGGGTAACAATGGTGCTGTGATGAGGCGTAACACGAGTGGTAGTGGTTTATCAGACATGTCCCTAGCATGTCCCTGTCTACCATTAAAGAATGTAATCCTAGTGAAGACATGCTGAAAGTATCTTCTCTAGAGAGAGATACTGAGTTGAAGTTCCTAGAGGAAAATCTCATTTAGAAACTTCAACTGGGCTCTTCGTCAAGAATCCCGACAAAAAGTCTCAACGCCGTTATACTTGTTGAGAACCAACCAGCGTATTCAACTATACAGTCGCCAGGATGGTGCTTGGACGGACCCAAAATGACTTCAGAGGTGGAGAAGTCGGACTTCTCCACTTTGAGAGGAATCCATAGATAGAGGTTGTAGCAACTCACACATATCGGTAGGAAAACAATGGAAATTCGAGGGAAACGTAACACAGGTGACCCTCAACCCAAATGAACAAGCTCCGCCCGGCATGAACCATCCCATTACGCTCTGTGCGATGCGGCTATGATGACCGTAGACAGCCACAGAGCCGTGAGCTCCTGGCTCGTGAATGCAAATTCACCTCCCTCGACAGCCGCCCGTATGGTGTCGCTCAGTTGAGTGAAGAGTCCCAGATCCTGATCAGAATGTGCAACTTGAGGGTTCCAGGTAGACACGAAAACTACTCTCCGCCAAGGACCGAATGGAACGACAAATGATGGCTATTTCCTTTCTCGTGAATTCGAGCCTACCTTAGAGAATAGTTCAGCGGCCGCTTTCATCAGTGTCGAAGAGCTATGACTCTCACTAATATAGGCTCCTTCAACCTTCTCACTTTCGCCATGAGATGGCCCACTATGCACTACTATCAACCGTCGAAGGCACTGAAGTTCCTAATCATGACCTGCTCCACACTATCTCGGAAAGTTGTCCTCACCTCAACCCCTGGAGGGGATTGATTCTCCATCTTGGCGATCTCCGCCCGTCTAGCGTAACTCCAGGCAAGATGAGCAGCATCCTACCACCACTGAGAATGCAACCATCCGAGAACTATCTCCTCTACCAGCTTGCTGAGCTCCTCAGGCTCTATCTTCTGCAACCAAAGTCTCAACTTCTCGTTGAAATTATCGTCGAGGACCTGAGAGCTCAGATTGAACACCAAGAGCAGTAGAGTCGCCAGAGACAGTCACGATTAGGTCGTCACCTTAGCCTTGGCAAGGGCCCAGGATATAAGGCAGACTTGTCGCGGCTGCAATGCTGAAAGTTGGGCCGTTACGAACGGTACCAATTGCCAAACTGTTGCCGAAGCGCCTGATGTAAAAGCACAGTGGCACCACGAGTTGTGGCCTACAACGCTAGGAAGTCTACCAGTCAGACGTAACCTATCAACTACCATAAAAGACAGCCCATGGGAATGCCTACACTTTCACATCCTCAACCAGTTCAATCATGGCCCGACAACATTAAAGAAAATCGATTTCTAATGCAAACGAGCAGAAATGAAGTTCTCACACATGCATAGGTAGCAGTAACCCAGCATTTTCCAACGGGATATCGAGTATATTCTACTCGGCGCCATATAGGCGGCTATACGCGTACGAGGCATTCAATCTTGTTATCAGCTTAACGGCCGGATGCTACCAATGACTGCCAGCCTATGCAACATGAGATGAATTGAAGCCTTGCCGAACACTTCCCGTTGAGAGACCACCTTCGCCATGAAATCTCGATACCTAAATTATATACAGTAAACATAGCTCCAGCCTTCGCGTACTAATGATCGAGCAATGCCAATGCACAGGTAGTCAGGGCATGAGCTACTCCCGATCTGAAATTTCTGAACTCACTATGCAATGGAAAATCTCCATCTCGACGAGGTATAACAGCACACTTCACAAGGATTAGATGTGACAATCAATTTTACGATAACCCATAGCTCAACCATTCTCATGATATCCATAAACACTTCAATTCAAATTGCTGGAGGAACGGGTGAGAACAGACCAGCTACTTACACTTGATGATTCCGTCCAGAGCCTTTTCGAGTAGTGAGCAGCGTCAACGCAGCCAGCCAGTCTCTTTTCCCAAAGCTCCCTGCATTATCCAGAGCATACCTATCACAAAGGCCTCCCATTATAGCAAGAACACAAAAAGGCTCACGTCATCAATGGAGTTGCTTCTCGGAATTTCTCCATTGATTTAGCATGAGGTGTATCCGCATCCCATAGCAGTACCCGGGAGAAATACCTTCTTCCCGTCCTCAACACTGCTGACCGGTTACCACATATAAACATACTACAACCACCCACGACCTAACCTAACTCTCTACCATGAATTGGTCATCTCGAATAACGCAAAACCTCTAGGCCGCTGTAGAAGCGCATCAGACAAACCTCTTCTGATCCACTATATAGTACGCATATCAATTACTACTCCCAACTGCGTGTAACAACCGCAGTCTCCAAACTAAGGTCTTTCTTAACACGCAGCAATCCTTTATCTAGTCAGCTTCTTCACATGGTCCGGCAGATCGTTGAAATATGGATGCTCCAGAGCCTGCTTTCCCGTAATGCGCTTACTTGGATCGTACCTCGGATAATAAACATAAGTTAGTACCGAATGCCCATTGGGTGCATGAATACAATACTCAGAAATATCGATGCTCAGAAAAACTACATATCTTCAAATGAGAATACGAATGTGAGACTCACCTCATCCGCTAAAATATCATAAAATGCGCAAAATCGCAGAAAATGCAAAAATTTACCATTCCATGAATTGAAAAATTATACACTTGCTCAGACTATTTCATACGGCCACAGTGTGAAAAACACTGAGAGATGCCAAAATATTGACAAAAACAGGCCCAGGCGACCAAGGAACTATTGAGAACCCTCTCACTTCAGAAGTCGCGAGAGGAGATCAACTCCATCCGGAGAAAGACTAGGAACGATTTGGGACCACGGCAAGGCCTTATACTGGGGAAAATCAGCCCTGAGGAAAAGCAAGATTAGCAAAATCACAAGATTCAACAACACCTACTTCCACTCTGGCAACTCCGTAACTGACGGCCACTCCTCTACACTTGGAGTTCCTAATGTCTTGAAAATCCTCTGCAACTGATCTTCGTCCGAGGATCCTGAGGATCACGCACTATGAAGATTCTCACCAGCCCGAATCAACCCCACCCGGAAAGAGCGGCCTGCCGTTAACCATCTCCGCAAAGATGCACCCAACGCTCCAAATATCAACAGGAGTTGAGTACTTTCTCGACCCCATCAGCACATCAGGAGCCCTATACCACAGCGTAACCACCTATACCGTACCATAATACACTGCGAAAGTCGGTGACAGTACCTCGTGAGTATAACTTCTCACTGGAATGCCGAAAGCTCTGGCAAGTCCAAAATCGCCCAGCTTTAGCGCTCCATCATTGCTTATAAGAAGATTCTGCGGCTTCAAATCGCGATGCAAAATCTGCTCGATAAACTCTAGTCAATAGGGACTCAATAGCTAGTATGAAAAATTGAGCAGAAAAATCGGGAAAAAAATGTAAATTAGTGATAAATTCTCAACGATGCATGTGAACTGTAAAAAGGACAAGACCATGAACGGCATTGAATGGCTTTCCACAAGTGCTATCTTATCGATTAACCCAGTCGCTCTAGATTGTTGCCGAGGACCAGCTTCCTGCTATACTACCCTATGCTGATGGCAATGAGCAACCCCACTCAGAAGCTGATACAGGAAGGACTTCGTAGTAGCCGGGTCGAGACCATCTGCCCACCACCGTTAGATGCTGTAACATACGTGACTATTACGATGACCACAGCTGTCCATGAGTTTCTTCAAGTCTTGGTCCAGAAACTCGAACACGAGCGTTAGCTTACGCTCAGTATGAATAACGTCACATAACCTAACACAACATCAACTTCTACTGAACACTGGCAAATTCCATAGACTGCGTCGCCCAAATTCGGGGGCTTCCCCTACCATAATTACCGCACAATATTAGGATGTCTCAACTCCTTGAGAAGAGATATCTCACGAATCGCTGTAGACGGTATGCCTGATCACAACAACGAAGAAAGTGTCCTATACCCACAACCCGATACTGGAATATATATTCTCTTTCCTCAGCTGAGTTCTGAAGTTTTCCCACTGATTATAGGAGACTATACACGAAATAGGGTAGAAGTGTACAGAAACACCCGCAAAATTTCCTCAAAATTTTCATACAGTCACCGACACATGTGCATATTTTGCCACACTGCTCTCACCCTCGTCTTCGGCCTCCAACCTAATTGTCTTCAATGCGAACAGGTTACCCTACAACAAGTCATTGCCATCACCACATTTCCACTCAAGAGTACTTGAGCGTTTCTCGCCTTATACACGATTCCATACGTGCCTTCGCCTATTTTCTCAAGTCGCTGGTACTGATCCATAGAGAGTTAATAACAAACTCACTTAAAACTGCACTGAGAAATACACACAGAAACGACCCTACCACACCATTTTCAAATCAGAGACGAAACTATTATGAACCTCAATTACTCTAGCCAGAGAAATCTAATCTCACGTGCCTCATCAGAGCACAACATCAGAAAACATGTCTTGGCCACAGTTACCCCGCAGAAACTACCTGATGATATTTTTTCTCACAAAAAATGACGCCACTGAACGAGACAGGCTTTGCTTCAACGTAGTTGTGCCACTACCAGTTGGTAAGAATACAAAGTAACAAATTATACCAGGAACCTCACGCCCACATCGATAGAGCAATCTTCATCATCGTAAAGGTTAATGAAACCACTGATAGCTACCTCTAAAAACCGCTACACGACGGAAACGACTTCGCATCAGCACCAACTCGTGCTGCTCAACTCTTGCTGCCCTTCTGTGACTCTATGTGCTGTATTATCACCTACAATGGAGCCGTACTATTCAAGAAAACTTCATCGGGATTTGCTACTTTCTGCGCGTTTTCGATTCTCTGCTGTAGATAAGGGCTGCCAGCGGCTGCTCCCGTCGGGCCATTCATGTCATACAACTTTTTATAATGCTGAAAATGTAAGCTACATCCCAACGGTTTAACCCGGGTAAAACAGACACTTACCTCTGCAATTTCCTGTCTAGTCACCGCATTCTGTGCAGTTGCGTCAAATCCCAGTATCTTATAGGCCTCTTCCAGTGGCATCTGCCGCCGAAGTGTCCTGATAATAAAAAATAGCAAAGTTAATAATTCCTATCGGGGTCCGAGACTACAGTAAATATACCCTACCAGATTGTTCAGAGCAAATTAAGTATACTTTCACCTAAATGTTGCAAAGTTTACGTAAACTACCAAGTTTCAACTTTCAAGAAAAGTCAACTATTTTCACCCACGCCGCACTGACATGGGTAAATCTATGTTCATGCGTCCATAACGGGTGATATATGGCATTATAATGGATAACTAACAACTACTCCTACCAACCTTGTCGCTGCTTGAGTAGCTCCCTTCTGAGCAGCCTCCTGAAAGGCCTGTACGAAAGCCCGTCCTATCGCGCTTCCTGCTACCAGGGCAACTTGGGCCAGTATCCTAAGCACAGTCACTATGTTCTATAAGAGAGACTATGAAATTACTACCTTGCGAACGGACCTAGAGCCATGGTAAAAACAACAAGAGTCAAAAAGGTACTACTACAAACAAAAAGTGATTTCTATTTAGCGCGCGCC